CCGTGTTATAATAATACAAATAACAAGAAAATATAACAATGCCTGGAGATATATTTTCATAAATAGGTATTTTTGATTCTGACTTATAATATCTAGACGATTAAGAATAGGTGGATGCGGATACTTTCACAAATATCGATGTTTTAGGACCCAGAAATGCAGAATGTGCTGTTTGTTCACGTTTGGTGTGGATTTCTAGAACATAAATTGACAAAAATTGTTTTTTATGTAACAAAATATGATGAACCAGTTGGAAAACGTTTATATCCTTTTTTTGCAAAACAAAAATCGGTACATTTCTGCAGGTACGTATTATGTACAACACCCTGTACGTGGTATACAGACAAAACTAGATTGCCATGCATGAACAGTCGTCAAAAACAGTGAAACGTCCTACTAAATATGATAGCTAGAAGATCGACCTATTATTTCTATCATTTTCATTGGTCCATTTAAATAACTGACCGTCTTTTCTGAAATGATAAAAATTTTAAATTCTATGAAAGTTGTCCTAACTCTAAAGCACAAAAACATAATATTACATCTATATTGTACTCTTATTTATTAGGAAACCGTTTTTTTCACGACTTTATGCAACATTTCAATAGAAATCACTGATATTCCGAGAGCTTTGACAGCTTCCGTCAAATTGCATTTCGAGAAGGTCTTTTCCTATTGGTCCAACTGACTTAATGTTGGTGAAATTGGTCCTAAAAGATATTTTTTTGGTTCGTGCATTGCTTGTCTATGGGTTGGAAGCGATAGCGATAGTGGAGGAGAGCGTTGGATGTCCATAGTGTTCAAATAACAATATTTATGTGATAATACTGAAGAAATATAATTGCCACCACATTTAACATGAAATCGATTACATATGTATATAGTTTAATAGCGAATAAAATTTTTATAAAAGACTAGCATTTTTACGTGTTATCCCAGTAACAATATTCCTCTGTATTATTATGTATTCATAATTGAAAGCAATAAGAGAATAAAGGTGATGTAGAATATGTCGTACTGGTAATAAAGGGCGCGAGTGCGGTTATGGAAATTATCAATTATGTTAGTTGGAATTACTTTAATAATTTGACATCTACGTTGGAATAGAAACGGCTCATACAGTGAACATTCCTAAACTATGGTCCAAGGGCTGGTTTAAAAGATGGTTAGGCGATGCTCAGTATCAGAAGATTAAGGTACACAGGGCCATCTTAGAAAGCTCTACTGTTGAGAACAGACAAGCTGATACAACAAAGCTGTTTATGATACCAAAGACCAGCTCAATGTAAAGGTTAGGCACATGATGTCTCAGTGCAGTGGAAGCTGGTCTTTTTGTGCGCTGGCTGAACAGATGGAAGTAATATCTATTTCACAGCTCCATAAAGAGCCACACGATTTTATCCGATTCCAAGTCTAAGATGGAAGTATCTACTCTATGTTTTACTGACCACCAGTATGTCGAGATGGAACGACTTTATCCTATTCCAACGCCAAGATGGGATTACCTATTCGTCAATATAGTTACGGCCAGCTCCACCATGGATATTCGTCTCAACATATTAGTACAGTATTCCCTACACCCTACTCATGAAGAAGACACTTTTCAAATATAGAAGCGTCAAGCGAGTATTGGTGCTCCACATACTGTGGCTCACTCTGTATTAAGTTTTTCATTCCCAATTTTTAGAGTGCTAAACCCTCGAGGTGATATTTTAGGGATCGAAGGAAAACAGGTCTTCCAAAGGCGGCGAACGAATGCAGTGAAGGAAAAAATAAAATATTCATTTCAGTGTAAAATCCCGAGGGGGAGAAAACATTGAAGAGATATCACTGTTTACAGTGCAGGAGTATCTCCAGTGCCCAATTGCCATGACGAAACAAATACGTGATTGAAATCTAAAGTTACCGTAAACAACCGGGATTTCTAAGAGGGCGGCTTTTGAAACTTTTATCAATGGCGTTTTGTTTCCTTTCTTTTCAAGATATGCGTCTACAGATCCGTATCTGGGCATCAGGATATTCGTATCGAGGAACTAACCATAGACGTTGCTCTGCTCAAGTTTCTTTGGATCTCTTCCTTGATTCTTGTATCTCCTCAGATTGCCTTGGATTTCCTCGGACCCCTTTGTACCTTCCTCAGATAAAATCAAGGGAATTGGCAGCAATTGGCTATAATGGAGACAGAAACGTGCCGTGGCACATACGCAGACAAATGTTACCTCACATCTTCTTGATTTGTCCCGTATGTCCGTGGATGCATCTTCTCAGATTTTCCTCCGGCGGTTGCTATAAGGAGCTTAGACGCGCCGTGTTAATCTGATTTTTAAACTGTCTAAGGTTAGTAGATCCGGGAAAAGCATCCTCACGCGAATTCTACGACACTTTCAACATCCTAGTGACAAAGGAACGGAACTTCCGGTCTGATCTAGATGTATGAAGTTCGACACGGTTTGGATGGCAGACGGAAGTCAGGCGGGTCTGACTGGCAGACTCATGGTGTGGTGATTCATGGAGGAGAGCCTTGTGGTGCAAAGCCCGTTGACACATCGAGCGTGTACAATCTAGTCGGGGTGGCATAACTCTAGACATGTGAGCAGTACTTGAGTCGAGCGCTTACCTGAGCATTGTACAGAGTAAGGAAGTTATACTTCTTAGCTCTTAACAAATAGCCTAGCTTTTTCCCAGCAGCTGCCGCGATTGACGATATGTGTTCGTGCCAGATCAATATACAGATTCAGTTCTTCAGAAGAGCTCGGACATCGATCGAAATCGGATGAGCGCTAGAGCGCTTCCTGTATGTCAAGACGCAGTACCTACTGTGTTTTGGAAGCATTAATCTGTACCATATTGTTGTGTCCCCAAGCAGTGTTGTAAATATCTCGTCAGAGAGGAAGTCGCTACTATTGTTCCAGCTCACTGCCAGAAATCCTCTTGGAACTCTGAATTCTGCATGTGGAGTGCTGTCATCAACAAAGCCGTGGATCGGCTTGTTTCGACAGGAAATGAGGCCGTTGATCTGGCAATTTTTTTGAATATATTATATTCTGAAAAATGCATATTATACAATTTTGAGTGTATCAAACTTCTTCAAATTGAGACAAAAATAGTTAATGTAACAACTGAAATCTATCCTCTGGTTTTCATGTTAATATAACTTATTAGTTACCTTTTACTGAGCTTTCGGCTATCATGGTTTTCAAGGTCCAAGTTATTGACAATTTTATGTTGATCTGTCTTCTAGGTAACATGTTATTTGTTTTATCTTTCCTTCGCCAATATACAGTGTGGTGCGGCAACAGCCTCGGCAGTAGAGCATTTTAACCCGTAACTGGTGAGGTCCATTTTTTGTCCCGTATATGGTGAGGCGGGGTCATAGTGACCCCGCAATTTTTTTTGCAAAAGTCAATATTGTTTTTATATTAAAAAAAATCTGCCTTCATTACTGAAAAACCTTTATTTTCTGATAACGCTAACGCAGAAAACATTTGTTTATTAACTAAAATAACACAAAAAACACTTAAATCAAGAAACGGCCTCAAAAATCAGGTATTTTATTAATAACGTAATAATTACCCTGTAATTATAAAATGAGCTAACATAAATATTTTTTTTTCTTAAAAACTAAACATATAGGTTCAATGTACCCTACAAACAACAAAATATAAACATAAACAAAATTTAACATAAAAATTGCAAGCCATTCTTACAAGCAATCTTTACAAATGTGTGTTTCACATACATGGCAAATAGGTGCTTTGCAACTAGCGCAAACAATCTTGGTTTTCCGATCTAATGATCTTGGACATTTAGAGCACCTTACCTTTTTGTTAAAACATCATTTGACGGTTCAGGCACGTCTTTCTGTAAAATAGAGGCTATATTATATCTCAATTGCCTTGGAATTTGAAAAGTAGTTACTCTTCTTTCCATATGATCCTGAACAAGCTGTCGCGCCAAACGTTTGTTAAATTCATACCTCGACTTCTGAGGATTTCCAGGTAAACATGAGTATATTATAAATGCATTAACGGAAGAAATATCCAAGATGGTATAAAAAATAGTTAGAGGCCATCTTCGACTCCTGCGATGTGTAGAATACACTGTACATTTTTCGTCTAATGCATCGACGCCTCCTTTGGTTTCATTATAAAATTCAATAATTTCTGGTTTTTTTTGTTTCATTATTTACTGTCTTACTGTAGTGCATTGAAGACATCAAAAGTACCGCTTTTCGTGGTTTGGGTACGTAAGAAACTAGTGTAACTCTATCGCCAAATGCAAATAGGGAAGAGTCCGTAAGTCTACTTTTGTTTGGCAAAAAAGAAGCAGGTATCTCTCTCTTATTTTTGTCAACAGTTCCCACGTAAGTTAGGCCTCGCTTCTGTAACTCAGTTATAACTTCTAATGATGTAAACCAATTGTCCGCTGTTACATTACGGTTAGTACCCTCAATAGATCTTACCAGACGAAGAACTGATTGCGTTGGTTTGTTAAATTTTCTTTCCTCTTCTGACAATATTTGACCGTCACTTCCAGCATCTGTATATACATACCCATCCAGAAAATAATGAGTTCGAGCGTCAGTTAGTGCCATTATTTTTAGGCCATATTTTCGGGGTTTTTGAGGCATGTACATGCGAAATACACATCTCCCCCGAAAACCAATAATAATAATAATAAGCATTTCATCAATTCAAGCATACTGCCCTATGGAAAAATTCTTCTTGCTGTTTTCTGTAAACTTATTGAAAATTGATGAAATGGGGGCCAGTTTGTCAGTTTTTTTACGGTCTTCCCTTGTAATTTGGTCATCAAACTTAAGCGCTGTCAAAAGTACTTGGAAACGTTTTATTGACATGGTGCATCTAAAAACTTCTCTACCAGTACCATCGGTAGCAAATATTGAATTTAAGTCTTCATTATTGGATTTAAAGATAGCTGAATAAAATAGCAACCCAATAAAAACCTTTAATTCGATAACATCTAAATCCCTAAGGTCCGTTCTATTACCATCAGCATATTTGGTTCTAATTCTGGCAAGTTTTTCATTACTTCTGAGAACAATCTCATCTAAAATATCGCTTGTTATTAGGCATTCCCAGGCACTTTTCTCGAGACACAATTTTCCAAGAGACTTAGCTGGTCCAATAACTCCGGGAAGATGAGAGATAATATTATGACTTCTGGTTCTTACATTTGAAGGTGGAGCATCTGCAGTCCATTTGTATCGATTTTTACCATAGTACATTCTCGGAGTTGAAGTTGGAATTTCTTGGTGCTCGTTGGAAGGTGCTGCATTTTGTGAGGTAGTATCTGAAACATCCAGTGTAGTTTCCAGTGCCACGGTTTCCGGCTCCCATTCAATTTCTGAATCGCTTTCGTGTTCACTGACATAATCGGGATCATTATGAGAGTCATCATTCCCGCTAAAGACACTCTCCTCCGCCTCTAATATACTTTGAGCCCATTGTTCAAATCTGGGATCATTGATTTTCATTTTATTAATACGTGACAGGTCCATTTTCTCTAAAAATGCAAAAAACAAACTAATTTCCAAGGATATCTAAAAAAAACGTAACTAGTGAGGCGGGGTCATAGTGACCCCACTGCGCAATAAATTCGGTATAATTTGTAAACACTTACCGATTTACTCACGTCTATCCCTTCGGCTATCACACCAGACACTGACTGAAAGGTACTGAAGCGGTCGACCGGCTAGGCGAAATAACCTAAGACGTACGTCATTTTTAAAATCTGCTGGGGCTCTCACGACCCCGCATCACCAGTTACGGGTTAAGACGGCACCTCGTAAGAACCATTAAAGCTCAGGACCGCCTGGAGTAGGTATTCCCGCTCCCAAAAGATGTCCAGCCCCCAAGCGACAAGCGAGCATGATGTATCCATTGTTTTGAATGCATCAGACACATTATCCCTATCCATCGTCCCTGTATGTTGCGACAACAGTTCGACAACGGTTCTGGGTAGCTTTTTGCGTGCCCAGAGGAGGTTTGGCGTTTTCGGTAAGACCATGGAGCTATTTAACGCAATCGGAAGCATTTGGAAAAACTTATCCCAGTCTCAATTGGCTGTTTAGTTTCAGCAAAATCAGTAGTACTTCCTACGGCTAAAAACTAAATCAGGTACCAAAACGAAAGAGAGTAGGATAATGCAACATGCCCACTGTTAATCCCTAGGTGTATGTGTGTGCGGATCTCATAGTACACACATACACACTATACGTGTACAGCAAGATAGCTTTCCATTTTTCTTTACTGTTCTATCAGAACTCAGCACATATTGCTACTCACCTTTCTGTCCGTCATAAGCATTGATACACTCCGAAGTCATAAACTGGCTGATGAGTGCTGTTTTGCCAACTCCTTGTGCCCCTAACAAGGCCACTGTGTAATTGGCCACTTCGGCGACCTGACCTGGTTCGTCTAGAACTGGAGAAGGTGTGCCTCCCCCTCCTCCTCCGCCCATGGAAGGCGGGCACAGGCTATTGCTGCGTGAGCTTCTTCGACGGAAGGAATCGCCTCTGTTAACTATGCCTGCAAAAAAATAAGTACATAAATTAATAACATAGTCATAAATGCAAGAAAGGATGAGAAATATAAGTATGTTGAAAACACAATAAAATACAATCAGTAATGTATGCTTAGTTTTTCAGGCATTTCACCTATCTTATGCATCATTGGAAAGTGTCATTCAATTAGCAAACACTCTGTATGCACATCTAGATTCACACTGTTGTATCTTGCATTTTCTGCCCATAAGAGATGCTTTTTTCCCTATATACCCAACTTGTTTTTCTGACCTATAAACTCGAATAGAATTTTTTGACAATAGGCTTTCGGCAGCAAGGAAAAAAGATAAATAAGAAGCGACGGCTGTGCGTTGGCGGCTGTCGTGCCTGAAAAAGGCTTCCGTGGTAAACTCTCAACTTCCAATACTTCAGAAAACAATAGGCACTCAGAGTACGCGACTGCCTTTTCTACTGCCGAGTTCTCGGTGCTTCTCAGAAGTACATCGGAGTACAGAACGCAAGATACGCCTATACAGTGTCCCATTTTAATCTATCCACCTAAATATTTCGAAAACTGGGTATTCTCGAAAAAGTTTCAAACAAAGGTTGTTAGGTTCAACCTTCAAGGGCATTTCAAGGTTGAGTGAATATTTTAAAATGGAATGCCCTCTCTCCACATCGGAATTAAAAGAGGCCATGACGGTCAAGGCCATTTCACGGTCCAATCAAGACATCGAAAACAATTTGCTGTAGCAAAAGTTTTATCAAGTCTATACTTCCAAAGATAAGCTCTTACATATACAGAAAATGTCAAAAGCATTCCTGCTGTTGCCATTCCCAGTGTAAAACTAGGAGGTTTCCTTCGGAAATCAGGTCTTGTCTTTTAAGGCCATGTTCGAGGTCACCTTAAGGTGATCCAACAAACCTCACAAATGTGCTGTCGGACATTTTTGCTACAGCAAATTGTTTTTAATGTCTTGATTAGACCTTGAAATGGCCCTGAAGGAAATAGGTCATGGCGATGGTCATATTCGGACATACATTTACTTCTATTCTCAATTTCGATGTAAAAAGTGGGAGGTCTAATTGAACTTCTTCACTTGACCTTAAACTAACATTAGAGGTCGTAGACAATGTCATTGTCAAGGTCACAATCATTTTGCCTCCCTACCCTACAAGTTTTGTTTGTTATTTTCTAGGATGCGCAGTTCTCGAAATATCTCGGTAGGGATATCAAAATGAGACATTCTGTATACACAGAGTGGTCTCCAGAGATGTGAAATTAGCACAAGTAGACGCGATGAGCGTTCCAAGCATGAGGCCTATATACTAGGAGAAACCATCTTCAAAGCTTGACGCATGACTGATGACGCAGTGGTTGAAACGAGTACCAGCTACTGCGCATGCACCCTGCGAATTCACATCTGAGGTTAAAGTAGGAGATCCGGCCGTTTGAATCTGCAGGTATCTGTATTCCATATCCCGAAGTAAAAATCCTCAATTTTGGGGGAAAGTCCCCTAACATGGTAACCCTGTCAATGAACCACTGGTACACCCGACGTCCAGTATCGAAATCGTTTTTACAGTACGAACAGCTTTGCCGTAGTTTCTCCTAGTATATAGGCTAGACCTAGACGGTTCGAGTGAGAGCGCTAATTGGCACCCTTATTCTGTAGCTGACTTTCACCATCTTCTTGGATTTCCTGCGGTACCAGTAGGTCCACGGCTGGCCCTCTATCCCTGATCTCTCTTTCTCTGTCCGTTGGCTATTAAACCTTTGATCTGAACCTCCAGTGGTGTCTTTGTTTCACCGATATATACATTCACAAGGTACTTAGCGTAAAGCATATTTTTACGTTTAATAATTATGTTCTTGAGTGGAAATTATTGAATTATATTAACATTGAACGTCCTTGTCATGGTCACCATGAAAATACCTTTAGACAAAATTTCAGGAATGTTATTAGGAATAAAGCAAACATTAGGATTCAAAGTCAACCTTGACCATGGCGCTGAAGGTCAAATCAAGGTTTAGACAATTTTTGAGCAAGATACCCCTTATGTTTCATCCCGGAAATGGATAGAGTTGATAATTTTTCTTTTAGATATGACCTTGGTCAGGAAGGTCAAAGTAATTTTTACCCATTTAGAATTGTCTTGGACTTGATTTGGCCTTCAAGGCTATGATCGAGGTCAGATTCAAGAACAGAACTGAATAGCCGGGGAAACATCCTGAAATATCTAACCGTTCCAGGCCTTTTGGATCATCCTGTATAATCATATCGATATTCGCATCCATAGCAAGCTTACTGGGACATCCGAAATTGATGGAAGTTCCCTGGACTGTGGATCAATCGGAATAAAATGACAATACAGGATTGAAATACGTATACTTTCTACACGGGTGAAGGTTGGAAGGAAAATGCAGAAAAGGGACAGATACGACATTTTATTGTTGGCCATAAAACAGTCGTTGAAGTAGACGGGGGCTTGCTCCACAACAAAGTGAGTCCAGTGGATCTCTAACCCGGTATCTTTTGACACCTCTGATCCTTTACAATTAACAATATCACTCTTTACATTTTAAACAGTGATAACATTATGCGTTTTTAAATACATTTTTTCGCCTTCCGGGAGCTATCCGACCAAGTCCCCGATGGCTCTGCAGCCTCCACAGCTTATTGTGCCTTGCTCCACGAGTTTATAGTACCGAACAAGTTGGTACAGGTTTCCTGCAGGTAGTGCTCTAAAATCCCTCGGTTTAAGTTCTGGTTTCCCAAAGAGTTGATGTCTTTTGTGATCCAGTGTCTCGCACTCAGATAAGACATGTTGAGCTGATTCTGTTCTTTTTCCGCATTGTCTGCAGCTAAGGTCTCCATCGTACAGCCAGCCTTATTTTGCTCAGAAGTTCTTTCAAGCCATTGTGTTCTGTTAGAAGCACCGTGATTGCGCGGAGTTAGTTTGGACATGGCCGCGAGATGAATTCTTTCCATGTCTACATCCAGTCACTAAGTACCAATATTTTTTATGCTTCTTTCTTACCCATTCTTTGACTTGGTTCCTTATTGTGCTTTTGGCACCTCCAAGGCAGGTTCTGGGACAGTATAGGGTGTGGATGATTCTTTCCTTGCGAGCTCATCCGTCCTTTCATATCACACGTTACTTGAGTGTCCTGGCACCCACATCAGAGTTACTCTGTTATGTTCCACCAGTGTGTTCAGTTCTTGTGAGCGTATCCAGGTTAGTGTCACATGTCACACTAGGACTCTTAACGCTATGAGTGATGCCTGACTGTCAGTGTATATGGCGAACCTTTTACTGTTACACGCTCGCTCATTATTTACTCTTCCACAGTGCAAGATTGCATACACTTCTGCCTGAAATAGAGGTATGTCTTCCAAGTGGTATACTATGCCCAGGATTACACCTGTTCCCATATATACCTGCACCTTTCCCTGCTCAGCTTTTGACGCGTCAATGTACCAGGTTGTGTCTTTGTTGTTTTCGTTCGCTCCCAATTTTGGCATCGAAGCTCTTTTTGAACACAAATCTTTGAGCTATGTGGTCTTTACTAGCATCGATTCTGCCATTTCCCACATGTTTCCTTATTTGGTTTTTTGGTTTGGTGACCAAGGTCCTAACTTCCATTTGGCTGTGACTGTAGCCTGGAGTGGCCCATTGTCCCTTTTTAAAATAGTATAAAGCTGAGTATAAGTGGGACTAAAAAAACTTATACAGGCGGGTTGTTGCACAATCTCGGTACCTTCAGAACAAACAACGTGCATTCGCATGGGGGCCACGATATAATAAATAATAATATATATATATATATATATATAATATAATATACTAGAACTAGTATGAATTAAGGACTTCGTTGACACTCCAGCTGTGATGGCAGCTCTTTTCAAGGATTTTGAGCAGTTTTGAGGCATACAAAAAACATAAGCAGGTGGAATCACCCTCATACTATAATTACGTGAGTCTCTCTCGCTACCAGCATTGTCACAGTCACCAGAAAGACAATGCACAGCGTTAAAATAGGCTACACTACCCTCGCTGCGTTGGTAGGTATTCGATAAATGAATTCACTCGTTCTAGTATTCTTAACATTGGTCGTTATGTAGATCCGAAAATAGTCACCGCTTCCACCGACATTGCTCATTTTTGTCAGTGTGCACAGATACATATATCTTTTGTTTACGTAATTATGTCAAAATTAGCAAAGAGCACAAAATTAAGAAAAATAGTAGCTTAAAATTCAATACTACCAAGTGAGATGTACGGTTGATATGATTTTACCTCCTATGCCTCTAGCGAGGCAGTATTGTAAATGTGAAAAATTTCGAGAATGAGATGTGTTTATTGGATGTTATGTGACATGTCTACATCACTAAAAACCATGTCACTCATTTCCTTCTGCCTGTCGGTCTATCTGTCTGTTGGTCTGTCTGTTCACTTATCTTTAGTCCGACTCTAACTAAGACAGTCCTGCTTGAATTCG